TAGAATGAGCTATAGGGGGTTACTTTATATGCAGATTTACCTTATATCAGTACAGACCATCAAACCAAAGAAAGGAGAGACCTCTGGCTACGCTCTACATCCCCTGCACCCCACCTTACCCCTATAGTTCTCTTGTCGACCTTGCCGGGGTGAGCAGAGGAGCTAATAAAAAGAAGGAAATAGTTATCACAGTCAAAGCAGCTGTAAAGTCCCAGCATATCCTCTCCTGTTATAACATCAGCATTGTAATTGGAATACATACTAGAATGGATTTTAATTATGCAATCAAAGCTTACATGACAAAATCTCTTTGATATAGAAAGTGATAGGCAAACAGAAGTCAGCACTCAAAACAACATCCTGGATTCCCAGTGTGCTTTGCATCTCTTTCCCTGCTGCTAGATGATGATGCAATCTCCATTTCTCAAGACTGCATATTCCATCGTGCATTGCTTCCAGCAAGCAATGATCATGTTACATTGTTCAGACGTTGAGTTGCAGTTCAGAAGGCAAGCTCTGTTAGAGTTGTGACATGAGTAAATGTATATTCACACGGATGAGTGAAATTGTGTCAGTGCATTGATGAAGTACAAAAACTGTGGAACCAGCACACGATGATCTTCCAAAGACATTCAAACTTTATTCCACATGCATCTGTACAAAGCACAACCGCTTTCATTGATGAAGTACATCCTATGGGAATCTTCAATTACAAACTTGTAGATGGATATGGTCATTAGGAGTGGGATAGAACGTATGGAATTTCAATGTAGAAATACATATTTATTTCTACTTTCTACTGCCATTATGCTAAATACAGCCCTGAATGTGTAGAGAATGATTATACTACATGCCATTTGCAGGTAGTGACTTGATGACAAACCACGTCCTGGGCTAGGAAAGGAGGAAAACAAGCGACTATAGTGCATCTTTCTGCCGCGGTGCTGGAAATGACAGCAGTCATAGAGTTTGTGCTGGAGGAGTCCAAGTCGCTCCCCCACACTGTCAGAAATCATCAGAGTCTATTTCCATACAGGAGGCCTGGATGCAAATGAGCTCCGGTGGAATTACAGGAATCCCTTTTAGAAATTGTTTACTGCAGTCACACAGACTGAACATATTGTTTGTCATTATCTTTTCTAGCTTCACTCTCCTAAATTATACCTCAAAGTGTTTTTTTTTCTTGTAATTCTCTATGTGAGAGTGTGACCATTCTAGTGTAAATATTGGTATTGTTACTGTTTTAAAGACGTGTGTTTCTCTTTAGAGAGTTTATGTTCCTACTGGTATGTACAGTATATATAAGACCCCATTCACACTGAGCGATTTGTAACACGATTTCAGCTCAAAAATCGCTCAAACATCAGCTCAATGTCGCTCAATGATCGTCCAATGCATTTAAATGGAGCTGTTCACATCCCGCAGCTCAATGTCGCCTGTAGCTTGTCGCTTGAACATGACCTATTTTTCGGCGGATTTCGTGCGATTTGACAGAATAGACTTCAATGGTGTAGCTCGATGTCGCGCTACAGAAGTGTCACTTTTGCACAGAAATATAAGCAGGAACATAAGCAGGAAACAGGAAGAGGAATGATGTCACATCAAGACCGCTTTTGATTGGATACAGCCCCATGTAGCAGCTACAAAGTCCATGCCAAAAGTGCAATATGTGCACTGTAGCTCAATATAGCTCAATGTCTCTCAAAGTCGCTCAGCTCAATCTCTTTTTCTGATGTAGCTCAGTGTGAATCAGTGGCATCACACCCGGGTGACACCATGGGAGGGGTGACACCAAAATGATTTACAGTCATTTTGGTGTCACCCTCCTCTGAAAAGTCGGGCGCTCGGTCATGGACAGAACGCCTGACAGTATCAGGAGAGAGGAGGGGACCCGGCGGCATACCTTATCCCGCTGGGTGGCTGTCCCCTCCTCTCTCTGCCGGCGTCCATCACTAAGATGGTCACCGTCAGGTATCAGAATACTGCCGCGCGTGCGCAATGACGTCTCGGCGGGGTGACACTCGGTTACCGCTCCGGGTGTCACCCAACCTCGGGACGCCCCTGGTGTGAGTGAGGTTTAAGCAGAGTCAGATTTCCTCTTTCCACATGCATGCTGTGCTTCCTGCTTGGAAGTGCAGTACAATCACTATGCTTTACTTCTGCACTGATCTATCGCTCCTCATGGATGACTCGGTGAAAACAAGCAATGCTCTTTATTTGCTTTGCGTTAATTGCTCGCCCACTTTTGCACTGGAACTTGATGGAATACTTTGCTGCAAGCTGGTCGCAATTTAGCACTCTTCTAGCTATTGCTATGGTCAGCATGGGGCAAGGATCATGGCACGTCTCGCCGCTTGTACAAGACATGTAATGGATTCACAGATATGCCCCTGCCCACCATTCCAGGGGAGATACCTGACAGTCTACGGCCAACCAGTGCAATGATTTAGTGAACACAATAAAATTTGTGTGAGGCTTCTCTTGGTGATCAAATTTTAATTCCAAGCACACAATTAAATACACAGATGCAATACATAAATGAGTACTGGTTTACCTGCTATTGATTGGTATTTCTGCCCATCCAGTCTTAAGATTTACACAGTAGTGCCACGGAGCACAGTTATGTCTAGCAGGGGAGGAGACCTGAGCTTTTTGTGCTGCAGTTTCACTTTTAGTTACAGGTCAGCTCCCTACTACCAACTTGTGACTGGGCAGTGCAAGGAGAAGCAGCATACTAATGAGGTTATCACTGCTCTCTCTACCAGTCAGCATGTCCTTTGCACTGCAGCACAACTGATCGGCTCCTTGTGCTGCTCCTGCCTTCTCCTGTCTGTACAGTAACCAGCAAGCGCAAATGGTACATAGACAAGGGCTCCTACCTGCCTACCCCCCTCATGTTCTAAATAGGATACCTTATTAAAATGTTGAAGTCGCCTCAAGGCAAACAGCTGCATCTACAGATTAAATACATATATACTAGATGTATTACCTGCCATAGGATTTGTATATTTGTCCATCCAGTTCCGCAATTTACACAACTCCACCACACAGCACACCCTTGTCTGGCAGGACAGGAGACCTGATATTTCTTTGCTGCAGTTAAGTAACACTTAACTGCAGCAGAGCTACTGAGCTTTGGGTCACGGGAAGAAGCTAGTAAATGTCCTCCCGTGACCTTTAGGAGAACTATGGAGAAAAGCACTGACCCCATAGTTCTCCTTTAAAAACTGGCAAATTAAAAACAATAGTCCAGAAGTGATTAGTGAATAATCAGTATATAATATTCAGTATAGCGGTTATAAATACTTCTGTTTATCTTTATTTTAGCTTCCTGTGCCTGGACGTTGTGTAAGCCAATCAGGCTCTATAGTGCTGTCGGTCATCCACTGACAGGAGGATAGAGCAGGGTTGTATTACAGAAAAGTGAGGTCACTGAAGTGGCAGTGATGAGTAGATCACAGGAATGCGGAACAGATTTACAAATTGTTTGGCATATATGTATTTCAGATGTGTTTAAGCTCTTTGCCTGTGATCCATCTTTGAATGATATATATACTAAATGGTATAAGGGGGTTACCATTCTAAAAATACTTGTTTTCTGGCTGTCTCTGACTTCAGTGCCTTATGAGCCGATGAACCGGAACTAACATTCAGATTAGAAAGTGAGAATGAAGGCAGAACTCCTGTCTACATACTTGTTTCAGGACTGTGCCTTACAAAGTATTAAAGCCATTGGAGCGGCATGACTGCCAGGCAACCAGCATTTTAAGAAGGGTATGTCAGCAATGGCAGCCCCCATAGTCCTTTAATCTGAGCCCTCACTCTGCAGATGCTGACTGCACTGTCTGACATACAGACAGCCACTAGAGCGGGAGCCAACAGATCTGCATTTCATGACAATATTGAACAGCAAACAAGTCAAATTGTGAAATCCACAAAAAAGATGATTTTCACTTACAAAACTCAATAGTAATAACCCCAAATGTGCACTGTATAGTTTAATATTGTCTTGTTCATAGGAGCAGGAGAAACAGAATGTCCCACAATAGGCTCACCACGTCGATTACAACTGACAGGATAATCAACTCACAGACCTTGACCATTGAGATCAGACATTTGTAAAAGAGACCTGAAGACAACCGTGGACCAGAAAACTCAAATCGGCTTCTAGAAAACAAGTAATGGGTATCTCCAATCTTAAATACACTTTTAAAAAATGTAAACAAATACAAAATAAGCACACACCATTGAGACCATAGATATCTAATGTAGGTAGTCATTACCTCCCAACACAGGTTAATATTATATTATGCATACTGTAGTACTGCACAAGTTTACTGTTGACCTTTCGCCTTTTAAGACTTCCCCTTTCGCCATATCCCTCATTAATCAAAAGCGCAAATCTTGTCACCCCCTAAAAACACGCAAAGTTGGAATCTTTACATTTAAAATAAAAAATGTATTTCCTTAAAGTGTCAACATAATATCTCCAGATGACATTTCCCCAACCCATTTGGTCACCCGTCACTGCAAACCCTATAATATAAGCTTTCAGTGTCAATGCTACAAGCAGCTGGTTACAAATCTGTACAGCTACCGGAAACTGATTGTAAACCTTTACAACACATTGTTTTGAAATGCATGAAGACAAGACAATGTACAAGTTTCAGAGTGAATTTTCTCTAACATGTAGCATCCCTCACTTGACCATAGACATAAACTGCTCTTAATAGAAAATAAGTGTATAGGTCAAAGGAGCAAATGTTACATTTAGCTGCCCTTCATGCGTTAACGTGTTAGTATATGAAGCTTGTACAATGAACGCTTTCATCGCCAACAACTTTGTGCTCTAGGCTACTTTTGGTATCTGCACGACAATAGCGAATTCTCCATTCTGCACAGCAGCAGAGGTGTCTTGCAATGTCACCTGGAGCAGACAACACAGTGCCTGCAGCAGGTTTCACCGCCAAGTGACCATGCAGTGTGGAGTTGACGCTTACCCCTCAGCGCAGGCAGCAGGGATCTGTCCTTCCTGTCGTCGCATTTGTTACATTCGCTGAAGTAGAGGAGCAGAAAGACGTCCACGAGCACCCACACTAGCGACGTGGCCAGGACCACTTTGCAATAGATAAATCTTCTCATGTCCTTAATGGGATTCCGCCTGTCACGCTACGGAAAGAGGAGCCGCTCGTGAATCCGCGCCGAACCTCCCGGACTCGATTCTGCATGAAAGCACGCAAAACGACATCCCAGCCTCGTTAGAAGCGGAAAAGACGACTGATGAACTTTTAAAGGCTCATTTGTGGCCTGGGGAACGGTTGGCGGAGGCTAATTGAAATGCATTTGTCACGTCTGATGGATGCAGCCTGGGCACCTTGATCTGCGATTCGCCTGCAGCAGCGGCTAGAGGTGACAAGATGCAGGAAAAGGAGTACTGTGTGGCTTTGCTGATTCTGTGTTGCCAGGTTACGTGAGAGAGAGAGAGAGCGAGAGTGAAAAAAAAAAGGAAGAAAAAGAAAAAAAAGAAAGCTTTTATTTTTCAAGGGCTCAGCCCCTTCTTTCCATTCCTGGCTCAGCTTTCTGTGCAATTACCATCTTCTAGGCATGCATCCGTGCAAAGACATACAGTCAAGAGGAACGTGAAACACAGCCTCCTAACATGACTGACTGCCAGCCAAGGAAACCTTGAGATGCAAACCAGGATTCAGTATGTAACCGGGCAGCTGATTGGCTGGCCTCCTCGAGCCCCTGATTGGGTGCAAAATGTTCCCATTTTGGAAGTGCAGCAGACAATTGAGTTGATTTCTGCAGTTCGGGAAGCAGGAGGTTAAGCCGAGGCAGCTTGGAATAATGCTGAGCGTTTTGTATGTGTGTGTGAAATCAGCACCACGCAGAGGTCAGGATCAGCTGTATAAAAAGAGCAGCTTAGCTATACACTGAGCGGAATAGAGGCAAGCTGCTAGGGATATTCGGGCGGAGGAAGCTGGAATTGCACTTTATATTGTGAGCTAAGAAATGCAGCCCAGGTTTAAAATGAAACTGTTGCAAAGGCGTAAAATATAACTAGATAGATGAGGCTATTCATGCATGATCGCCGAGCATTTCCGGGGGACTCTGCATGCTTTTTTACTTTTTAGCAATTTTTTTGTGGACATACCGTATTTAAGCTATGCAGCTGCAATTACAGGCAATAATATAGGTTTCATTCACAAAGCTGAAACATCAGGATTCGGATCCTTAAGTGACACTAAACTCAGGAGTTAAATTTTAAAAATACATTCAAGTACCTCAACTAATATCGTAATATCTCTAACTAGTATCTTATTTGTTTATCACTGGGCTGTACATCCTCAAATCATCTCTGAATTGGTTCTGACACTGTCCTTCCTCCTGGAGGGGGGCTACTTTTGTTCCCCATGGTCCCTGTGTGTGTTGTAAAGTAACCACCGCTCCAAGCTCGCTCCTGTGATAGACTACAATCTCAATACAGATTAGTAAACTAAATGTGAGCTTGTAGTCCATCACAAGAATGAGCTTGGAGTGGTGGCTTCTTTTGTTCCCCCTGGTACATGTGTGTGTTGTAAAGTATAGTCACCGTTCCAAGCTCACTCCCGGGATGGACTACAATCTCAATACAAATTAGTAAACTAAACGTGAGATTGTAATAAACGTATCCACCCTCCAGAAGTACCTTAAGTATTACCAATAATGTATCTTATTTTTTGTATCACACTGCTGCAGATCTTAAAATCATCTCTGAATTGGTGCTGACACTGTCTACTTTTGTTCCCCATGGTACCTGTGTGTGTTATAAAGTAGCCACCGCTCTAAGCTTACTCCTGTAATGGACTACAATCTCATATTTAGTTTACTAATTTGTATTAAGATTGTAGTCCATCACATGAGTGAGTTTAAAGCAGTGGCTACTTTACAACACACACAGGGACCATGGGGAACAAAAGTAGCCACCCTCCAGAAGGAAGGACAGTGTCAGCACCAATGCAAAGATGATTTAAGGATCTGCAGCTGAGTGATACACAAATGGGTACATTATTGTTAATAGTTAAGGTACTTCTGGAGGGTGGCTACTTCTACTACAATCTCACGTTTAGTTTACTAAATTGTATTGAGATTGTAGTCCATCACAGGAGCGAGCTTGGAGCGTTGGCAACTTTTGTTCCCCATGGTCCCTGTCTGTTGTAAAGACAGTGTCAGCACCAATTCAGAGATGATTTGAGGATCTACACCAGAGTGATACTCAAATAAACTACATTTTGTAAGTTCAAGTAAGGTACTTGAATGCATTTTTAAGATTTAACTGCTGAGTTTTGTGTCACTTTAAGCTATACAGCTGCAAAGGCATTTCTTTACTACAAAAACAGGCAATAAAATAAGATTAATTCACAAAGCTGAAACAGCAGGGTTGCGTTAACCCTTGGAGTGGTGCTGCACCCCCACCCCCCCACACACACACTGCAAGGGTTAACTTTTTGTTTTTCTCTAGGGGAAGAAGGATTAATT